AGGAGGGGGGAAGGAGTGGCCTTGGGTACAGGACTTACAACTTTGTTGATCGTTTCCCGATGGTTTCTATGCTTCTGGACCCTGGAATAGAAGGAATTCCTAGCATTACCTCCCACCACAACCCTGCAAAACGCCTCCCGCGCACATTCTAATGCCCCCTGTGTGGTGAGATGGTGAGATTGGTAGCCAGTTCATTCGCAAATGGCAAATAGGCAAGTCTGCACACCTCATCGAATGCATCTTTCGACTCCTTGGTACAAAAGCCAATATATTATTTTGAGTGCAAAAAGCTCATCAAAATCACACCAACGATTCCACCCTGAGTTGCTGTCACCTTCTCTTTGATCTTCACCTGTGAATCACTTGGGCTCTCACACTGCCTTCTGAAGAAAAGGATTGCTGTAGCCGCAGCCCTACTTTCACTCACAGCCTCATTCGCCCTTGTTCATCCAATGCATCCAGCCACTCCAAGGCAAAGGTCCAAAAACACTCTGTTTTGACAGTTTAGAAAGAATTACACTTATATACCGACAGAAGGCAGCCCAAACATAGACCAAGTGAACATCAGATCCTGTTGAGCTATATAAATCCTGTAGCCAGCCTGGAGCATCTTGCTCATCTTCGTCATCATCAGCTCCATGCATTCTCCGCTGGTTTTTCAGCTTTTCAGCCTTTGGTCAGAGCACCAATTGAATCTTTGACTGAAAATAGTTCCCCCGAGTTCAACAAACACTCAGTATTGCTTCAGAATGTTCTGGACACAGGTCCTTCTCTGCTTCCTTCTTTTGGGCTTCAGCAGCTGCAATCAAGCGAACATACTCTCCGTCCTGGCAACTGCTTACTTAAACTTTGGTTTGCCACAGTGGACATGCAAAATGGCAAACCTGCATGGGTCGTCGGATATCCTCACACATCTGCCTGCAGAAACCCCATCATAACTCTTCAGCAACATCACTCTTCAATTCACCAACTGCCTCTTTAAGATCTCCCGCCTAAGAACATCAAAGGAGCCCGTTCCAAGTCCCTGCCAGCATCAGGAATTTCAATACGACTTTAGTGCCAAGAACTCACCATGCAGTCGAGTCATCACAGCACAAAGAGATGCAGGGGCAAACATGGGCAGGTTAGCCCGGGGCCGAGCCAAGACTCAACCAATTTGTTGGTGTTTGGAGAGGCCTGATCAGTCCCGGTCTGTTGTGGCTCTTGTAGACCGAGACGGTTTCTGATAAAATGAAGTTTGCATTTGCCGAGAACTTGATACTGGATTACGTCACTTTCTCAACACCGCATCAGCATCAAGACTCCTGAGTATGTTTGGTCCAACCAGCTACCCTACGAACCTCAACATTGCCTTGGAATACATTGACATAAATGTGATGACACGCAACAAACCGCTTTTTTTCAGCACCGACCTTTTGGTAACTGATTTCTCGTGACCGAATTCTTCAGTGCGAGCTCCGGGGCTTTCACTGTAGTTCCTCATATATCATGTTTTTCACCATGCATCACGGGCAATTTCTGGATGTCTCCATCCCGGTCATTGGCCTCGCTTCAGGGTTCTTTTTCCTTTTTCTCTCGTCTCTTTAGGCCTTACTTTCTCTGTGCTTGAAGTTGCACGCTTTTACGCTGAAAGTGTCCAGCCGACTCAGCCGGCCGTGACATTTTCTTTGTTCGTTGTTTGTTCAAATTCAGCTGAGAGTGGACCACAGATGGAGGGAACCAATTAGAACGGCGAGCACAGGCAGGATGTTTCTGAGGTGACGAGAGTGGCTCGTGCAAGTACGGCAGAAGGAACTGGTCTTTTTGCTAACTAGTAACAAGTGCATCGCTACTAGTAACAAGTGCCTTACTAGTAGTAACAAGAAGCTACTAGGAGCAAAGGGCATTGCTACTGCCTGAAAGCGAAACTTCTGAGATTTGAAGTGGATCGTGAGTGCGACACAGGACCGGCCCAGGCCCAGTCTTCATTTATGCCCAACACTATCATGCTCACTTGTGTTCTGCTTTTTCAGTCTAAATCTTGTTTTTGCTTCTCACGGTGCTTTTGGTGTAAATCTGCATCATCCCCTTTGCCTTGGGCATTCCTTCAAATGAAGACCACTTTTGGATACTTTTGGTCTCTGTCGCTCACGCCCTCCCAGTTCAAGCTAGCAATCGAGGCTCTTTTCATCAGTCCGCCGCCAACAAGCTACTGATGTTGGAGAGGATATGCAGCCTAGAAAGGAACATTGGATGGATCTTGATGTCGCAGGCCGCTCACCTTCGTTTTCGTCACGCTTTCTCAAGACTACACAAGCGTCTCCGCAACAAACCTCCATGTGGCACTTCTCTGAGCTTGGGGACTTTTGGAACCCTTGTCGTCCAGTAGGTAAGAGAATGACAATATCTTCCAACTGTTCGAAAGAGAGTGACAGTGCCAGTGCCTCCAGCTGTGACACTGAACGATCTGTGCTACGGATCACATCACCTAGGGGCCGATGTAAACTGCAAAGCATGAAAAGACACACGGGAGAAGGTCTCATGAAAAGTTGAGGTCACTGCGGACATGAACGGGGTTGCGCAAGGCTTCAGTAGCCTTCCATGCTTATGTTTGAGACAATATACCGCTAAATTAGCCTAGCTCCTCTTTCCAGCTTGCATGTATTTCAGTCCAGGTCGAATCCATATGACTTTATCTCTGTTTTCCTCGTCTTCCTCTTGTTCGTTTTCTTGCTCTTTTCCTTCTCTTCTCTATTTTTCATATGTTTTTCATCCGTCCTGCTTCATGACCTCAGGATCATGTAGCATCAGGTTCAGCTCTGGGCAGGTCTCGAGGAGCTGGCCAGTGGAGTCAGGATGTAAAGGTTCAGTCACAGTCTAAGTCTTTTTGCATCCAGTTCAGTTTGAGTTTCATTTTCTGGTGGAATGCATTCGTTTTGTTCAGTTTTCTTCGTAAGAGTGACAAACCTACACTCTATGGCCTTTGAGAGCCGCGGGTCCATCTTGAGCAAGCTGCGCATGAAGTCGTGGTCGTTCAGCAAACTTTGCATGGCTGGGGACTGGCAGAACACATGTTTGCATGTGTTGCGAGTTAACACAAAGATGCACAGTGCGCATGGCTAAATGAATTCGGCATCCTCAAGCATCTGCTGCAGAATATCTGGATTCTGGAGGACATGTCTCCTCCAAGCAGTGCAAGATTCAAGGTCAACTTGGTTGTTCTACAGTGCATTGCCAACGTTACCTCTTGCAATCCACTATCAGGGTGGCCGGCTCTTCTGTACTTACACTACCTCTGTTGGGGTCCGAGCTGAAGCGCTGCCAATTGTGGCGGCATCTGGCTGATGTCGACACCACCAGGCCCCTGCCACATCTCTGTTTGCAGCTCTCTGTGGAATGTTGGAAGCATGAACAGCACGAAACCATAAAATCTAGGAACCAAATCATTGGTACAAGCGCTTCTTCAAGGTAGCTCACCCAGGCCATCAGGCATGGGGAGCTTCCTTGAAGAAGCGTGAGCTGTCCTGCGTCCAGTTACTAGAAGCTTGTTCCCTTACTTAATTAAGTATGCCCATATACTTAATTAGGGAGGCAGGGCCACGGCTTTTAAGAAAAACAGTTGTGGAGACTTCCGCTGAGTGCTGTTGGAAACTCGGTAAGAGTCCGACATCAGCACCGCCCTGTTGTCCATGGAGCCTTGAAACAGTTTGTCAAATGAGAAAAAGGCACAGAAAAGTCACAAATGCACAAATGCATAAGGTGTGTTTTGAGTTTGCGCAGTTATTTGTTGTTTATACTTATATATATATATATATAGAGATTTGTTGAATCTGTGCATTGATGCATAGAAAGGCTGTATTAGAGAGTTGTACCAATCTTGGGCTGCGCACAAGTGAATGGTGCTGTTCCTGTCTACGCCATACGCTTCCAATGTACGCCCATCCTGCAAAGCTGCAAGTGTTCCACTCTTAATGTACAGTCAACCGCCATCACACGCCCCTATGCTGCGTTGACTATGCAGTCAGCTCCTGAAGCAAGCGACCAGCAAAGACCAGGCGCTGCCGATGTCGCTTGATGCCACACCTAGGGGGTTGCAGCTTGAGGAACACCTCCGTGATGCTTACACATCACATACACTAATACTATAGCTGGGCGGGTGGCTTTGGGGCCAAAATAGATCGAAATTCCTGCGCATCTGACCATCTGACCCTTTTGGACTGATGCGCAAAATGTATCTGAACAATGGGTCCAGAACAAAATCTGAAAACATGATGTTCTTCCAAACATCTGCGTTTGGCACCAACTTCTTCAGGGTTTGTTGCCTTTCTGGAGATTTTTTGTGCACGCGTTGCAGGTCTATCGAACTCTTCAAGATGTTGTGATTAGCCTCACTTAATCTATACGTCGTCCATGTCTTTTGTTCAGCAAACTCTGTCAGGAAGTTTGGAAGCTTTGGAAGCAAGTAGGCGCAAGAGGATGGCAAGCAAAGGGGGGTCCTCAATCCTGGTCTTCAGGTCAACATCAAGGTGAACCTTAGGGCAGTTCAGCACTTACGAATGTACAGAATAAAACCTGCAGTCTCAGATCTCGGACAAGGCTGCCATTGGGCAGCTTAACGGTAATGAAGGCAACTGGCCTCAGGCGACTTCTCAAATCCAATACAACATGCCCACTGAAGTCCCTCGCAAACACTTCATGGTGCTATGAGTCAGGCATGGCTGCATGGAGGTTGAGGGCAACTAGATTCACCCATACTCTGAGCCATATATAGTCAGTACCTTTCATGTGCAATGCAACAATGCAAAAACGGAAATGGTACAGGGAACCTGTAGGGAGATGTCAGGGACATGTCTTTCCAAACAACTTGTCAAAGCCCGAAGACTTTTCTGCTTTGGAGCACTGAGAAATCTTCACTTCCTTCATGGCCGCTCTAGATTGGCTGCAAAGCAAGCACGCGGTGCCAATCTTGGCTCCTTTGGCCCACAACTGGCTTTCCATCTTTCCTGAGGTGTATCGTAACATCAGTCCATCTCATTCAGCGAATGTGCTGATGAAACCTGCCAAAGCGAAAAGGTGTTCTTGACGTCAGCAGCAAATGGAACCCGGGCCTCCGCTGAGTTCGTTCGAACAGGCCTTCACCGAGGCATGCGCTCCGAATAGTCAGAAGGTCATGGGATGGCACGCTGTCTTCAGACTTTGGAGAACCCAAAGTATTTTCTTGCACCAAACGCAACTTGAGCTCTCAAAGCGTCTGTATCGGAGAATCTTCTGGGTATCCAAACGCTTCGCCCAGCACTGGTTCAGCACCTGCAAATGGCCACTACGCATTCGCAAACAGAACCAGATGCAAAGCTGACATGGCATGGACAGGTGAAATGAGAGCTCACAGCGGAAGACCTATCTTGCGCATTGCTTCTTCACTTCCTTTGCGGCCAACTCCATTCCTTGGGTGAACAAAGTTCATTACGAAACCATGAAGAGTTGCAACAAGCTAAAACCAATTAGTTCAAGCTGCATGTGATCAGAAAAAAATGTCATGAAGCATATTGACCTGAGTTCACTGAGTTCTGAATGAAAAACAGCAAGCACCCCGGGCAGTCTGTATTGAATGAGTGATAACAACATATCACATATCACATAGAAGCTACTGAAAATCGGAGTTGCAGGCGTGATCGAAACAACCAGCAAACTCCTGTATAATGGAAAAATTGTCTATAATGTGATCCAAACTCATCACACCACTGTTGAAACAAAAGAGTGTGCACATTTAAGTTGCCAAAAGATGTAGCAAAACATGTGAGTGTCTGACAATATTACTTATTAACATTACATGTGTACATCACTACTGTTCAGAGTACCTCCCAGAATTCACTCTGCGTACTCTCTCCACCTTTTTCGCTCACACTCTCTGCAGCTATGGTCTCTGCACGTCGCCCTGACGTTGTTGCGTTGGAAACTCACAAACTGTGAGCAGTGTTCATAGCTACACATCCATTCCTGGATGAAGCTTAGATACCCATCTATGGAGACTCGTCCACCCAGACGTATCCATAGCGATGTATCTACCCAACCAGGGAACCTCCCTGGAATGAACACTAGACCTGACAACAGGTCGCCCTTAAAAGAGACTCCCAAGGCGGGGGAACCAACGTGGACCCGGCCATAGGGGTGGGCTGGGTGGGACAGAAACTCCACTGTCCCACTTTTGGCTTGAGCCAAAATGGACAGTGTACCAAATGTAATGAAGACTGTGCACCCAAACCTGCCCAAAGCTCGACACAGTTTCACATTACATGTGTACATCACTACTGTTCAGAGTACCTCCCAGAATTCACTCTGCGTACTCTCTCCACCTTTTTCGCTCACACTCTCTGCAGCTATGGTCTCTGCACGTCGCCCTGACGTTGTTGCGTTGGAAACTCACAAACTGTGAGCAGTGTTCATAGCTACACATCCATTCCTGGATGAAGCTTAGATACCCATCTATGGAGACTCGTCCACCCAGACGTATCCATAGCGATGTATCTACCCAATGCATTTCTCCCAACGCACTTCAAAGAAAGAGACCGACTCGCAGAGCGACGGAAAAGGGGAAATACCAGAGTGGTTCGAAAAATGTGGCTTCCCGACTAGTGAAACCCTGGTCGTGGTGCCAACGATCCGCATGTCCCTCACGGGAAATGGCGTCACTCCAATTGGATTTGGAGGGGATCCACTCAAAGTAAATCCAACATCTAAGTGAAAACAATAGAATGTGAATCATATGACTCATGTGCTCGAGGTCAGGGCTGTCTGACCTTCCCTTGATGAGCGCCATCAAGGCAGCGGTGTTGTCTATGTACCATGTGCCGCGGCGATTGCGAAATCGCTCAGGTGTGGTAGTCAATGCCATGAGGACCTGCAAAAGTTCTAGTTGTGCGATCTTAGCCTCTCCTGGGGTCCAAAGAACGTAGATGGACGGTGGGAGATGGGAAACAAATCCAAGCCGGCTCTCGGTGTCCTCGTGGAAGAAGACGAGGAGAAAACCACCTGTCCCTTCACCGGGGGTCTCCAACGCAGCGTCAGACGCTGCCACAAAGCGCTCATGGTGTCTCGGCCAGGCATCAAGTTCACGCTCCGGATGGATAGAGAGCACTGCTTCGAGGATTTGAAAGCATTGTTCGATAGCTGGAGTCAGTTGATCACCTCGGACAAGCTGACGCTCCTTAATGGCATGGAGACCTCCACATCCTATCCTGCCGTAGACGCCCTGCTCGAAGAAGTTAGCCAGTCCGTACAGCTTAGCTGCAACACCGGGCTTGAGAGTTTGAGTTGCACGGCATTCATGGATAATGGCCTTCAACTTGGTTTCCAGGCGTTCCCTCGCCCAAAAGGAGACAAAGCCACCAGATAGTGCGGACGAAAGGTCATGGTCAAGGCCTAGAAACAACCCCTTGGGGCGCATAGCCTGGCGTTTCTCTGCTGCGAAAGGGGTGCCCAGAAGCTGGTTCAAGGCTCCAAATGCCCATTGAGCCGAACCCCGGCTCGAAGACCAGTCCTGAATAGATGCATCATCGAAGTAAAGCGAAACCAGGACATAGCACAGGCGGCGTCCCAGGGCCTCTACAAGACGGCTGTACCGATTGAAGGATGTAACGGCCAGTGGAAGACCAAATAGTAGACCGGCGTAGACTTGAAAAGCCGGAGCAGCCCATTCATGATGCCAAAACGTCACAACGCATCCCCGCGTTTCGTTGGCTCCCATTGGGCTGTGGCGATAGGCATCCGGCCAGTCTTCTCCACCTGTCTCCCAGGTATCGGTGGCGGCTGCCTGGGCTCGCTCGGAGGGGCTCATCTGGCGCAGGACTTGGCTAATGTGCTGAGCCGGTCGTAGTGGTGAGCAAAGCACCAACTTGTTGGCATCGGCCGAGCGTAAGGTTTGCCCTCCTGCATCAGCGTTGTCGATGATCCGCTGCTTGCCTGAAGACTGTGTGATCACACAGCGTGGGATCAGGCGGTACGGCTGCCCCTGCAGCTGCTGACGCAACTGTGCCAGCGTCAAGGGAGGGGTACAGAACCCTCGTGCCGCGTCCTTTGTAGACTGCTCCAACAGGAACAGGTCATCTTTACCCGGCTTGAGGGTAGACAAGATCTGATGGTTGTGTGCTTCGCATCCGGCCAGGACCTCTGTAAGAGTAATACGTTCGGCAGGCTGAGATGGAAAGACGCCGTAGCAGGGTGCATAACCGACTGCCGGCAGGCCTTCGATGAGCCCAAAGGGGTATGTAACATCAGGCCATGACGTCAGCAAGATCAACAGCGCGACAAAGCCGAGGTCACGGGTGGCTGTGGTCGCCTGCAAGGCGACAGGTTGAAACTGCCGTAGATGGCGTCCTACTGCACACCAACGCCGATGAAGTTCTCGAAGTGCTCCCACGGCTGCACGGCGAAGGTCTCGGAGACGACCTCGGTACTGAGTGTGGCAATCGGCTGCAAAAGCCAGGTCCAGGTCCAGCACGGCTGGTAGCTCGGTAGGTAGCAAGTCGCGACCCCGTGCCAGCGCTTGGGCGAAGTGTTCATCAGGACTGAGATCATAAGACAGCAAGGGGGGTAGGGCTGCTCGCTGATTCAATGCGCCCACTTGCTGGCCCTCGGCAGTTCGGAGGGTCTGGCGAACGTTGGCGTCAGCCAGGTGCGGGCCCAGGGGGCCATCAGTCTCGTAGTGCCTATTGTGCAGCCACACCGGGAAAGCATCGAACGGGGCAGCGTTGATGATGTCCTCAACCATGGGGAACTGGAAGTTCATGAAGAAGTGAGCTGGATATAATTTGCGAAAGGCGAGAACGAGGGCCTCTTGGCTCCACCAACGTGTCGGACTCGTTGGGATACCCTGGACCGTGCTGGCCATACTCGCTAGGAGAACTTGGCGAGCTGGAGGGGTCCCCCCCCGACTAAAGCGATGCATCGACTGACGGCCCTGTGGATGGCTCGCCTCGAAACAAAGGCCTGCAAGCACATCAGCCTCACAAGGGTCGCAGAAAGGACAGTCGCAGACCAGCACTTTGCCTTGCAGCTCTTGCAGTTGGGTCACCAGCCCGGACTCGTAGAGGTAGGCAACATAGTACCACAACCAATCATTAGCCTGACTGTTCAGCCCAGGAATGACTGGGGAGGCCCACTTGGTTTTGGCAAGACGATGCGAACCACGGCCCTGGCCCACGTAGACATGATCGTGCGGCAACTTGCCCTTCTACGTCATCTACCTGAGCTCGACGAGGGACTCGGGCGGCCTCATTGGGATCTGGGGGATACAAGCCAATGCCCAGGGCAAGCGGCGCCATCGCCCATTCCCTGAGTGCCCGGGGATCCAGATCTAGCCAATGTTCACGGGCTCCGACACACTCGAATTGCGGCAGCCCCACCACGAGGCTGCGACCGCAATAGCAAAGGCCAAGACAGCTGTGTACTCGGCCTCCTCTTTGGATGGGTAGATTGTCTGGCCATCCTGAAGGTAAGGAGTCCATTCGTGTGGCGCATGAGAATGGTGGCAGGTAAGCGGCGGCCATTGCTCAATCTCATGAATGTTGTGACGCAAGCACTGCGCCTTGCAACGAGCTCCCCCCAGACAGCATGCGTCATACCGCTTGTCTTTCCAGCGGCCAGTGCATGGCCATCATCGCGCGCTCGGTGGACCCCCACCAATGTAGGCTACGCCAGGGATTCTCACGGACTGACCCGCCGCCACGCTCGGCGAGCAGACGAATCTCCTCGAGGATGAACTCGCAGGCCTGGTTGTCCGTGCGAACCCGCTGAAGGTCACGACCCTGCAGAGTCGGCAGTCCATCTGGATGTTCCTCAGAGCGCAACGGTGCTGGACATGGGCGGCCGTCCTCAAACCGGCGAGGAATTTCCCTGGCTCGACTCTTGGTAGAGCAGTCAAAAGCTGCGCGTATGAAGTCGACCTCCGAGAGCTGCTCATGTAGGGACTGCTGGCGTAGTGGATTAGAAAGGTCATGAGACTTGTCCAACATCCAGTCGACTGACAGGGTGCGCCACCCGCACCAAAGGAAAGCCTTGGATAGTGGCAGGTTGGGCCCACAGAACAGGTCAGCAACCAAGGGACGGGGAGCATCGATGTCCCCTAAGGGGGAGTCCGTCCCATCCTCCCCCTCGGGGCCCCATCACTTCTTCCCGCCCCGACAGGCGGCAGCGCCGTGCCCCGGGGCGCCACAGGCGCGCTCTTTGCGCAGGACCAACCCACAACGGTGCTGGCCATTGGCACAGTTGGCTTTGGCCTTGCACTGGCCATGTTGGAGCGCCTGGCAGAGGCGTGTGCCATCTTTGAGGATCTTGGCCACCTGGCGCCCATTGATTGGATTCCCCAGGGTCCATCGATTGGAGTCGGGCTTCACTGGGGTGACTGGCTCTGGTGTGGAACGACTCGAGGGGATTCCGCTTGTGGTAACCGGGACTGACCAGTGGGCATCGCGCATGGCATAAACCTCTTGGATCACACGGCCTAGGCTCTTCTGACTATCCCGAAAACGGGAAACCCACTCCGACCGTTCGTCA